GCTTCTCTGCTCGGAGATCTGCTCAGGTTCACAATTCGAATGCGAGTGATGAAAATCATGCTGAATTTGGAGAACAGGAAAAGAGTTGCTGAAGGACGCGGATTAAGAAATCCATTCAGAAGATGTCCTTGCTGGGCCTGGGAATCGAACTCGGGTTCGGTTCCCAGGCTCCAGCAGAAGCTGTTAGAAATTTTCGGGAAAGACTGTCCTTTAAAATTAATCTGGCGCCGAATTGTCGGCATGCCGAAGTTTTTTCCAACATGGACAACCCTGTCCATCCCCTCCCGTCTCCCGACGCACCTGACAGGCCCAGGCAGTCGCACTTTCTGGGAAGCACAACAAAAGCTTTCCTGAAAACCAGTACTTGACCTACATAACCTAAGTACTGACTTGCAGCCCTGCCTGACAGACACAGTCCATCAGCAGCATCTCCCCAATGAACGTGATGGCCTGGCCAAATGCCTTGGCCAGCCCAACGTCGTCACCACAAGCGTCGTCACAGTCCAAGACCGCGTCGACGACCCAACACTCCCCCTCCGTGCCGGACACCGCCAGCACAAGCCCCAACACAACAACAGACAGCAACAACATCCGTGAAAATTGAAAGACACGCGTTTTAGTCACTTTGACGATTTTGCAATTTTATGGTTTTACTCACTTTTTAGCAGAGATTTTTAGAGTTAAAACTCTTCCAGACACCCTGCAGCAAAGACAGGAAAAGCACTCTGAAAAGATCGATGCAAAAACCATGACTGTTCCATATGAGCCTCAGGAGACCCATCACTTTCTGAAAATTTGTTGCTCTCAACGGCCGCCGTCGTCTCAAACGAAAAACGGTTAAAAATGGTCCGAAAATTTTAAAATTAATTGAGCAACTTCTTCAAGGCAATAGTAACTCACCCTGAAAATTTGAGCATCTTCGGGTGAACTGCCAATTTCCGCCTCTGGGTTCTAACTGCCGAAAAGATTGGAGCCGGCAGCTTCACTTCCCGTCGATTCCCCCTTCCAGGGATGGCAATAACCATTGCCAGACCCATGACGCTATTGAGCGCCACTCAGCATGAATGTGGAGAGGAAAAGAACTTCTGTGCACTGGTGTTTTTCACTTGTGTTTGGATTCTTGCCTCTTATTTCTCTGATTGCAAAAAGGGTGGAACCTTTTTATTTTTTGTCAGGGGTGATTCTGTTATCCTGGAAAAGAGCTTCACCCTTTTCCTGCACCCTTGAAAAGTGTAATCACTCTTTTCTGTAATTTAGCTATCCTTGAAAAGCTCCCCCATTCTTTCCTGTAATATGGGTTTTGTGGAAATGTGTTCCATTTCACAATCCAAGATTGTCAAGCTAATGATGGCACAGAATGGAACAGTCATTAGCATAATTTTATATAAAGTAAAATGAGGGCTGACCTTCCCAAGAATAATGATTCTTGTGAAGGTTTCCAGTCTCTGCTGCACAGTGATTAGTATAGTAATGTAGAGTGTAATATATTGCATGATACAGTGATTGCACACTGTGACATTGCACTGATTGCCCCAGTAATAGTGGCAGCAACCTTGTCCTCAAGGATGGTGCCACAAAGAATGCCCTTCCCTGTTCTATTCTGAACTAGTATATAAATGCAAGGATTTCCCTCCTGCTCTTCAGAATCATTCTAGAGTTGACCCAGGGAAGTTAAGGCTTAGCTACCCTAGATACTTGTTTGGATTTAACAGCAGTTTGTATTCTCAGTCCCTTGGACTTGAAGGTTTTTATCTGTGTGTGTCTGTGAATGTTGTCTGCCAGTGTATAATAAAGTTGTATATACTCAACTCACAATCCTCTTTAATTTCTCAGTCAGGGGAAATTAGGGGGATAACAGAATTTTCACTGCTAGACATTAATTTACAACACGTACTGCTGTTCTGTATTCATATTGCGTCACCACCAGCAACTGCCTGAATGCTGCTGCATCCCGTCAAGAATACAGTACTGTACCACGCACTCGGCATCCGTAGAAGGGATAATCAGTATATAGTAATGTACTGTACCTGAAATGAGTCGTTTTGGTTGTTTGTCTCGATGAAAAGCGTAACGTAGTAGGGCAGAATGGCGAGGAGATCGATGACGTTGAGGGCACCTTTGAAGAACTGCCACTTGTTGGGCGCACAGGCGAATCGGAGGATGTACTCCATGGTGAACCAGGCAATGCACACAGCCTCCACTCGTCCCAAATACGCATTGTCTCTCGGCTCTCCGTTGGGGCCCACTTCTTGCAGGTTGGGGATCGTGTTGAGCACCAGGGCGATTGTAGCCAAAACAATGAACAGGATAGATACCACAGCCACAACCTGCATCGCACACAGTGAATACATCAATGAATTCATCAATAGGAGATTAAAAGAAGCATTATTAGCTGTAACTCTTATAATTCTTCCTCAATATCGATTGCAGTAAGTCAGCAGACAAAGCAAAGCCTATGCATTCTTCGTGTTTTGAAGAACAATACTGTACAGCAATGCATTGTATACACATGCTTAAAATGCAGAGTCACAGCATCACTTGACAGATGATGCATGCATGCAAGCATATTTAGTGTACGCTGCTACCCAGCTCACCCAATATACAGTAATGCCTAACTGCTTATTCCGCAATGGTATATGTACAGTATTGCGCTCTTCCAGCATACTTCGCTTCGAAGAAATAAAAATGAATTCATCCAACTCAAACCTCAGCATAGGTTACATAGTAAAGAAGTAGAAGCTTATGGCGGTGATTTCAATGAACGGACTGTTGAAATGACCTCAGCCTACATCAGCTATACTGTGTAATAGAAGTACGTGCTCAGAAGAGGAAATACTTTACTGCCAACAGCCTTGTTCATCACTGCAGTTTTGCGAAAAGTTGAATACATGTAGCGTCTGCAGTATTCCTGTACAATACTTTACCAGATTAATAATAATTAGCCAAGTACCCGCCTGCTTCATTCCTAGCACATCATAAAATAAATACTACAATACTGTATGTATCCTTGCAGTTAATCACAGACCTGCATGATGCACTCAAAAAACACTTACGCGGGCTGCGAGAGAGGTGGTGGGCTTTTCAAGGAGGTCCCAAAGAAATTTTTGATAGTGAGCACACTTTCCTTCGCCAAACTCCTCTTCATCTCGCTGACGCAAGGATTCCATCTCTTTCCTCATCTCCTCGTGCAAATGCTCTTTCCGCTGATGATACTTGTGCTGGCAACAGGACTCTATGTACAGCTCGTCAATGCCCCAAAACTCCAAGTCATCGCTGAATGCAAGCACGCACATCTCTTCCACAATGTGCAACTTGCCGGACCGATAAAAGTTGAGGATGGATGAAAAGGATCGCGGGTGTCGGTCGAAAAAGAATTCGTTGTCCATTAATGAGTAATCATCACACAGCTCCATGATAGCCTCGTGGCTGTTGCATTCCCACAGCCGACCAAGCCGCGTGTGTGGCAAGCGTTCCAACGTGCGCCACAACACTTCATGCTTCACACCACCGACGTTGATGATGACTCGCTTGCTCATGTCCTTGGTGCGCATGATACTGAAAGACTCGGCGACTGCAGGTCCAGCACCAGCACCACCAGCCTCCTCGTCCATCTCATTGATGGACGAGTCCAAAACATCGGAAATGTTCTCCTCACTCACGGCAGCACCTGCTGCTTGTTGCCGCTGATGAGGCTCATCATCATCATCTTCATCATCGGCAGCAACACGGCTGAAGACCGCGTAACCCTTCTTCAAGGAATTCATGGCAACGAAACTGCCTCGCTCGTGGTGCTGGTGGTGGTAGTTGAAGAGAAGACGAGATGTCTTATTTGCCGCCGGTCACATGAATATGAGTAGTGGCCTGGGTCCAAAAGTTTTTGCTCGTGGTGGTGGCGGTGGTTGTGGTGCGAGTGCAATAATTCTTTCATTTCCATCTGCCTGGCACACGGACACCCCTCTAACGATAGGTCCTCATAAAAATGGCATCACGCCACCTCTTTTTTCTTGGATGGTTGTCTTCACACAGCTGCTAACGGACATCCTTCAAAGCAAAGCAACATTCCTTCAAAAATCATCCAAATTGGGACGAGAGGTGCGGTGACGACCAGCACACGTCATAAGGTAATTCCGAATAAGAAAACTTGTCGATCAAGCTCCCTTGAAAAGCACGAAACAAGATCTTATGTGGTAATGCATTCAATTTAGATCCAATGAATCATCCACAGATTTTATACCATTTTTAAAAATTACACTTCATATCCTATATACAGCAAGGTTTATCAACATCTTTGAAATCACAAATCGGATGGTCACAACAGTATCCTGCCGGAAAATACACAAGTGGTCGATGGGACAATCTGCAACGCTCATTTTGCTTCGCTTATTCTCATCCATCAATTCATTGACAAAATAACTTCCACAAACACGCAGGGTTTCATAAAACTTCAAAATATGCACCAAAATCCCATCAAACACTTCAGACCTCAACCTTATTGTCAGATGTGGGAATAAAGTACTGATGTACAGTTTACTAAAACAAGTAGAAAACATTGAACTCATCACATAATAAAACAATGTACAAGGTTCATCGGCATCTCGAACTAGACAAAGATGAGGGAACAAATCTAAAACTGGAAACGAAACTTCGGTGTCCTGCAATATCTCATATCTGTGCCGTCAGCATTCTAAAAATGTACCGTATTATGTGGATGGAAGTTCATATCAATGCGGGAAGAGAGGTATATTCAGCACTGATGAATAATTTCAAATAAAACGGCCTTGATCATGTTACTTGTTCAGGTTACACCACGGGCTTGGAAACATGACAATCATTCTGTAACCATGCATGAAGATGTAAATTGTGTGAAAAACTTTGGAAACGGTCCATAAAACAGAAATACATTTCAAAATCACATTCAAAGCAAATATGGATTTAGAGGTTCTACTAATGCTTTTGTGTACACTCAAGCTCACCTTGAAGGAAGGATACATGCCAGAGCATGAATCATCTTTTCCAATGAACACTCCAGCAGGGGGGTCTACATGTGTCTTGAACGTCAAGGGATGATCCCTTCTGCTTCAGCTGAACACATGTTACTGCGGGCCACAGATAGCCCTCAATATGTGATATGCATGTTCACGCCAAACCCGAATAAAGAAAATACTGCCTCCGCAAAAGAAGACTGAACACTGCGAGCAGACAGCGCAGATGCTGGAAGTGAACAACCAAACTCAATCACAGAATTTCAAACAGACCAATGCCATATACCACTTCTAGCCCAGCTGGATATGCCTCCAAGTCAAACTAGCGTAACAACCACATCTGAAAATCCAAGCGTGGCAAAATGTAACACACATGAGCTATGAGTTACATCCCGACAAAATTCATCCTTGTAGTTGAAATAAAAAGAGGTAGCACACACAAGTGCAAGACAGGGGGATCTTCGAAACTTCGAGCCTTGGGATCTTTGAAGCCAGGGAGATCGAGGGTTTTGGGCAATCCCACCCTAAACCTCACTCTAATTTCTTCGGGCGCCGCCATGTTTTACCGCTGGTGCCCTTTATCCTAAACATTGTGTGCTAATTTCTCTTCTATTCAATGCTGACATCTATGCATATCATACAGAAGCACACCGGTAGAAACAAGTACTGTACAGTACAATACAGTAGCAGCCGTGAACCATGATGGCGACTGGTGAAACGGTTCTGAGGTTCGGGGTGAGCTTGCAAACATCTCTTCAAGCTTTGACAATAGAAAACCTTAGTAACGAGAATTTAGGAGCCACGACGAGAAATTTTGTACTTGAAATGCAACTGGTACCTCAACGTACCAGAATGCAAGATGTATTTCTTACACTTCGCACACGTACGCGTGGTACAGGAAAAGTTTACGTTCGTGAATTTTTTTGGTATAAACCGACATACCGTATTTACAACTGAAAGGACATCCAAATTGAAGATGCCATTAAGCTTGTACTGTATGACCCGTTCATGAACTCACCAAAATATGGCAAGTATGAACACGCAGCAACCCAATTCTCCCCAAGCTGGTATCTGACAATACAGTACAGTATGTCGAACATTTAACGGCAACATTCATCCCCTGAAGGAATAAGATGCATGTAGAATGATAGAATAACGTTTTTCCAGATTATAACGGCTTCCACACCGACTCTCTATCACGATGACGTCTCTTCATATGACGTCACAAGTTAACAAATGGCACCTAATGCGAGAGATGACGTCAATGTCAAGTTTCAACACGTAACGGTTTTAATTCTGAGACGGGCTGATTCCTTTTCTGATCCACCGATACCCGTCTCCGTTCGCCCTTCAAATCGATCCTGATATGAGTCCTGCTAGGTTGGGCAGGTTGCACTTCCGTGTTTTCCCTCCAACATTTCACTAGATGTCGGTATTAGTACCTTTTGGCGCATATAGAAGAAGTTCTTTTCTCTTGTGCCCAGCTGTGGTCTTCGTGAGGTACTACAGAAACACGAAAACAGATTCACTGAAAATCTTCGACATCTTATTTGGGCCTCACGGGAGAAACCATTCATTTTACTGATCTGCGCAGTGAATTGGAACCGCATTGTCGTCCGCTATGAAAAGGTTTCTGTGCTCTTTTGTGAGAGGAGCAATCGATGGCCGCGACCATGATTTACATTGGCCACACCGGTCGCTCACGGTGAAGAAAGTGTCGGATGATTTTACAGACGGAAAGTATTTTATCTTCTTGATGAAGTGACCGTTGGCGATTTATCGGATTTTCTTGTTATGCATATTTATATGTGTGTATGAACAGGGAGAGTAGTGTGTACGCGAAGTGCATGAGGAGGTTGCATGGTTTTTCGCCGAACCATATGTTTCTTGATCGGCTGTTCTCCATATGCGAGTGATCTTGGGCTTCATTAAGATTTTTTACTGGAAATTACAAGCCTTGAAAGCAGCAAAGGATGGGTGTAAATCACGTCTGGAAAAGTGTTTCAAACCTTCTATCTCATTTTTGGTTGCACAACAGTATATAATGATAATCTTCTAAATTATTCCCCCTGGCCTTCAATTCAGTGAAAGTGGTTGCTTTGTTGCGTCGCGTGCCATTCATCAATTTTTAACATTGTGACTCTATTAGATATGATTTTCACATTTTTAGCCGCAATTATTTTGCGCTACTTACGACATTGTTGAGCATTCCCACGTCAACCTGGCGGAGATGAGGTAAGCTTCGAAGAAACTCCACGTCCCCGAAGAACGATGAATTAGTCCATACCTCTTGCGGTTTATGGTTTTGTAGCACCTTCGGTATCGTGTCTCAGATTTCTACTTGATTTTACGTGTTGAGAACATCTGAAGACAACTATTTTGATGATTCTTCGGAAATTTTACGCTTACTTCCGTCAATTTTTGCCAAAGGATGATTTGTTTAGGAAAATTTTCCTCATCAATTTGCTGACGATACACACAGTACATAAATGAATGAGAGCACGTATCGAGACAATAATTCACTTCTCTTTTCTGTCAATCAAAGGTCTTGTTCAGGTCACCATGCATTGGTGTTCCAGTTGCCCGATGGAGTTTGAGTTCATTATTGAATCTTGTGGGTTTCAGCCTGTTCGGAGATGGTAATTTCAGAAGGAGAATGCCGTATTGTTGAAAACTGGTTAATAACAGTTGTGAAAACATAAATTTGTCTCATAGAGATTTTTCAGTCCTTCCCCGCAGTCGGTCTTTTTAATTCATGCAGGTCTTCATTTTTTTTCAGAATAATTGGAAAGCTTTTTTGATAGTGGGAGAATAAAGGATAATCTATTGCATTTGTGATCTTGGAGGCATCATGCCCGCATTGTTGTGATGTATTTTGTTTTTTCTGGTCTCCGTTTTTTCTTGAGTTTAAATACGTATTTTATAGTTGAAATCATGTCCTCACGATGATGCGAACATTTTATTAAATATATGGACAATCACCTTCATTGTCCCAGAAACTTAATGCAATACTTACCTGAGATAGTTCCCTCTTGTACTTCGTAGCTGCATGACGTGTTGAAACCTTCCCGAATATTGTACAGATGCTGTAAAATTGATGGCACGTTGAAAAGGAAACTTGTATTTTTTCTGGATGCAGCTCTTCGCATGTCATGCTAACAGTTGGGTGTCATGAATTAAACTTAAATGACTATCGTTGACGTAGCAAGCATTCATAGTGGAGGATGCCTCAATATATGGAACGCATCCGAGGTCAGGTGCAGATTCATTGGTTATATGTGATGAAGATAAATTTCCCGACCCAATCGTTGCTTCGGGCACCATGCCACTTGCACGTAATTTGCATGCTAAACCATTTTTCTGCGAGACATTCCACCGATCAGCGCTTCTCGAAAAAGGCACATTATTTCCTTTCTGTTCAGAATCACGTTCATTGAATGATGCAAACGTTTTTTTTTAGGGCTGGCTGCATCTCTAAGTCTGTGTTTTTTTTTTTTTTGACGAGATTATTCGTGTGATAGCGAATGGAAGTCATCCCGATTGTTGCGCATCTGTAGATGGTAAGTTTGTTCTTCACCATGCCCTTGAAAAACTTGGAAACATTTTGAATGCGGTATAATCTTTATTGTAAAGCTTTCGAGCAATTTTGTTCTGAGTCGCGAGTCATGGTAACTCGTGCACGCGTTGATGGAGCCGGGGAATTCCCGGGATCAAAAGAGGCGAAGAAGAGGACGAAGAAAGTCCTCATGGGATTTCACGATACTGTATATAAAAAGAGAAGGAAAAGTTGCATCGAAGCATTCTTGGTTGATCTGGTCTTGAGTAAACTTGACTTCTTCCTCCCATGCCAGTGATTTCTGTTGTTTTTGGAGAGTACAGTATTGTATTATGATTTGCAGGTAGAACATTAATCTTTTGGCAACTTGTTCCTTTCATCCTGTTGCTGCTTCAGGAAGACCTAGCTGTTTTACGTACTTTTTGGAGAATCATGATGAGGGGTTTTTTGTTGTGTATTTACCGCGAACATTTCTCCTGCTTTAGAATTATCGCTTAAGGGTGGGAAAAAAGATTGAAATACTGCATTTGTATTGTCTTCATTTTATGTTGAGGCTTGCTTGGCCGTTTTATGTCCAGCTATTGCATTTTACTTTGTACGTCCCTCAGCATTTCCCCCCTTAATTCATGACGTTTCTCGTTATTCATTGTGGTTGAGTTTCTTGAGGTTAAATCCGGCGTTTTCGCTGTTGCAAAGGGGCTGGGCGAAACATTTGAGGAAAATTCCTCTCGAAATTCCAATTGTTCCATTTTACTGTATACACGGACTGTACTGTACTCGGGTTCTATCAACTGGTTGTGTATCTCGAGAAAAATGTCAAGTCCAACCAATGAGAAGCTTCGACTGGCTGGCTGGTGGGCTGCTCCTCATTATTTCATATGATTTCATTGTCCATTCGCAAGTGTAGGATAAGTGCGCATGTTGAGTGTTTCCAGCTCCTTTTCCAGCTTGACGATGCGGTCCTTTTGTAGGCCGATGAGGTCCTGCAACTGCTTCTCTCTCCAGATTGGCTCGAGGCGCTCGGCGAACATGCTGGTGAGGTCCATGGTGGACAGCGGGTGTTGCAGCGCGTTCTCCAACTCGGTCACCTTCCTGTCCAGCTCCTCGTTCTCCTCCATCTTGGCTCGGATGCCCTCCTGCAAGTTTGAGCACCTCCGCTCTAAGTCCGTCACGCGCTTCTCAACGAAGTCAGCCTCCAAGTGTGTGAGAGGTGCGGAGAAGGTGCACGTCTCGAGTCCATTGCTGAGGAAGTTGCGTGCCTCGCGGTCCAGCTTGAACTTGTCAATCTCGTGCAGCTCGCGGAAGATCTGCTCGCACTTGTCCACGTACTCGGTCTCGTCCCACTGGGCCCGTTCCAGGCGTTCGCGGATGGCGGCGAGTGTGCGGAAATTGTTGGATGACTGCTCGGCCATGGCCCGGAGTTGCGAGTCCATGTGGACCACGTCGTCTTTGGGCACGGCGATGAAAGCGGCGGATGCATTATGATTATTACTGGTGGTGGGGGCTATTCTGGTAGTGTTGGAAGGACACGTTTCAAGAGCAACTGTGTCCAAGTCATCGACGTCGGCGTCGAATGCGTATTGGTCGAGCTCGCATAGACCGAGTGGCGCGACGAATTGCACTTCGGGCTGGAGACGGTAGTTGTCAAGGCCCTGGGCCAGTAACCTCAGGGCGTGGCGCTTCTCATCCAACGCAGCCTCGGCAGCCTTGAACTTGGTGGCAGCCATCTCTAGCTGGGCCTGGCATCGGGCCCCGACGTTGTCGGCCAGTTTGTGGTTGAGATCGCAGGCCAGTCGCTCTCTCCTCAACGCTGTCAGCTTCTGCCACGTTTCTGCAGGTAGACCAGTGGGCCTGGCTGCTGCTGTGTCCATTTCATCGAGTTCCTGTGCCAGCGTTGGGATTTCGCCGATGGACACCGGCTTGCATGCATCAGACAGGTTGTCGTCGTGTTTCGCCAGTACACTGGCGACGGCTGAGCTGAAGGTGGCTGGGTGGCTCTTGAAGGCGCACCAGGCAGACTCCTGGGTCTTGGCCGACGCTGCGGACTTGGTGATGATGTCACTGGCGTCGCGGTCCAGCTGGGCCCCGCGTTCAGACCACTGAGTGCGGATCCGGACTGTTGCAGCCAGCACGGGATCCAGAGCCCGCATTTCGGCCTTGGCCTCGCGTGATGCGGCAAGCAGTTGGCGTGCTTGGGCATCCAGCTCGGCAGTCGCTGCTTCAAGCTGCTGCATGTCACGGACGTCAGCCAACAGGCGAGAAACGGCGAATTCTGCGCGTGCCACAAGCGTGGCTACGTCCACTTTGAGCGAGGCGAGAGTGTCGAGGCGGGAGTCGAACTCACGCTTGCTGCTTTTGATGGATGACTCCATGGCATCGATCTCGGTCAGCAGTTCATTTTTGTAGTCGTTGCGACGCTGGTCGAGTGCATGGAGCTGTGCCTTGTAGGCTGCATGTGCTGCCTGCTCGTTGGCGTCCCACTCGTCGGCTGGCTTGGCCAGCACGAACTGCGGCACTGGCACCTCCTTGAACAGGGCATCTTTTCGCTTGGGCTCTAGCACGCCGTTCATCATATCCATCAGAGCCAGGGATCGGAATGGAGGATCAGAATTGCCCAGGGTGGTGGTGGCGGTGGTTGTTGCTGCTGCTGCTGTGGTGGAGGTGGAGGTTTGGGTTTGGGCGGCAGTGGCGTCAGCGTTATTAGTGGCCGTCGTCAGTTGTGGGAGCTTTTCAATGGCAGAAGAAGCGGATGCAGACTCAAAGATGAGCTCTGGATGCTCTTCAAAGTTGGCAGGAGGGAGGGACACTCCGTTGGCCAGGAACTGGACAGCCTTGGCCGGCAGTGAGCGTTGGTGCAGGAATGTGAGTTCGTCTTGTATCTCGTGCGTTCGCGTTTTGGCACGGGCAAAGTGCTGGAGACGGAGGGACTTGTCGGCCAGCAGTGCATCGAACTCAGCATTGAGATGGGTTTGAAGTTCGTAGATGATGTTGTTGAGGGCCGCCACTTGTTGCTGTTTCCGGTCGATCGTGTTGAGCTCATGCTGGGCATGGAGCGTTGGTCCAAAGTGGTCCAGGATGGACCGCAATGCTGGGTCTCGAACATTGCCAAACAGCAGCAGGGCCACGTTGTTTTGACTAGTGCTACTACTGCTGCTGCTTCTTTGTCCTTTCCTGTTGTTGGTGTTGGCTGCAGCAGCATTAGTCGTTGCGGCAATGTCAAAGTTGGACACTTTGGCTGCTGTGGAGAAGCCGGAGATGGTTTTGAGGGGCACGAGTTTGTCGTCCCACGCTGTGCGCTTGATGTCGGCGCATCGGGCCTTGCATGCTGCCAGTTCCGCGTCAAGGTTGTGGCGGAACTTGTCTGTCTCTGCCTGCTTGCTGGCTAGGAATGCGTCGATTTCACGGGGGTGGAAGGCGTATTCGGCTGGTGGGAGGCGACCGAAAGCAGCAACATCATCCTTGTTATTGTCATTGCAGCAGTGGTTTTCTGCCAACAGTTTGCTCTGTTGTGACTTGAGGTCGAGAGCAGCACGAAAGAGGATTTCGGACGCCTGGCGGGTCTCGGGCACTGTTTCCAGGAATTGCTGAATGGACGTATTGTCGGGCAGTGCTTGTAACTGGGCATCGAGGCTGGGGTCGACAAGGACGTTGTTGTCGTCTTTGTTGACAATAGTTGAAGCGTGTAGGTGAAGCAACTTGATGACGTGTTTGGATGCAGCAGCAAGGAGATCGAGGCTGGGGTTGATGGCAAGTGCAAGGAGAAAGTTTTCTTCGTCGTTGTTGGTCGTGGTGGTCGCTGTCACGGTGGGGAAGTCGACGACTTGGCACACGAGTGAAAAGTTGTTTTCGGGAGATGTCTGAGACACGTCCAGTCGCCCCACTTGCATGTCAAGTCCGGCAGTGAAGAGGTTGTTGTCGCCAGCAGCCAGCAGGAGTCGCTCGATGTGCAGCTCGTGTGCAGTGGGGAAAATGCGGACGAGTGTAAGGATCGGTTCTGATGTTGTTGTTGATGTCGACAATGCCGATGCGGGAACAGTAGCAGCAGCCGTCGTGCCCTCGACTACAGGCCCAACCCGCCACTCGGCCACGGACTTGTCATTGGCATTGGCCACAAAGAAGTTTGACTTGAAGGCGGGCGAACCCTGGATGGCGGTGCATGCCACAGCCATCCCGTAGCGCCGCATCTCCACCACCTCTCTGCCACCATTGATGCAAGTGCTATTACTACTACTACTATTATTACTGCCGTCGCTACCCCCATTTGATGCACCACCCAGTGGCACCACCACTACCAGCACAGTGACGACGTTGGGGAAGGCAGGCTCTCCGGATCGACGCCGTTTCTTGCCCAGCACCCAGAGACGAGTCGTGTGTTGGGGTTCCACAAGCGACGCACTCAGCACGTCTTCCTTGAGTGTCACTTCGGATAGAACAGCAAAATTGTGGGTTGGTCTCGTTGACACGCACGTGATTTTGCTGTTGCCTGTACCTGAAGAGAGAGATGGAAAAATTAGAAGGGGTCTGAGTATCAATGAAGATTTGCAGTACTGTACATGTACTGTACTGTACTTGCCTTTTTTGTGGGGTTAGTGTTGTTATTTGGCCTGTTGAAAAAGGGATTTAATCTCAAGACTTAATTTGTTGTGTTGTAGCCAGGTTCAAGATTGAAGCAACACGGGCTTGACACTTTGGACTTGAAAAAAAAAATGCGGGTGTTCCCATATACCGTCTTCAATAGAAACTGGCTGATGAAACTAACCTGCGAGGAAGGCGATGCCGGGAGAGTGGGATCTGCCGAGGAAAACGTGGTCGATTGGGTTCCCAGAAAGCACGTTCCAGGCATGCTTGAGAGTCAGTCTGGGTTGCGCTTTGTTGTCTGTCTGGTCGCAGTGAATGAGTCCCACGGTGCCGTCGTCGGCGCCAACCAGCAAGGCATTTGATTCGTGGCAGGGCTGGATGCAACACGGCCGTTGCTTGAGGTCGATGCAGCATGACGTCTTCGATGAAAGTACTGCCAGTGCAATGGTGGTGGTGCTGCAGCAGCAGCACAGGATCCGTCCGTCTGCCAGGGCCACAGCGAGTGTTTTGTCATTGTTGCCGCGTCTCCCCGGCAGGAAACACATCGCTGTTATTTCAGTTCCCGGCTCCGTTTTGATTGTTTGCGTTGTCATCTGTTGTTTATTTTTTAAGGGAAGAAACATAAAAAAGAAATTGAATCGTGTATTCACTCAAATCGTCGGGAAATCTTGAAAGATAAAGATACACTTCGAAGAAAATTTATGTGGAATGAAACATTGGTTGTTTATGTTGTGTCCTCTGTTTTCTTTTTTTCAGCAGCGTTGCAGATAGAGGACAAGAAGAGTCGTTGATCGAAGAGGAAGAAGGACGTTTTATACAATGGGGAATCTGATGAAGGATTACGACGTGTGGTTTGTAAGTGTCAATACTGTATTTATATTCATTTTACCACGTTTTTACCATGTTTTTATGAACTCACTTTCTTGTCTGTCTGTCTGTCTGTCTGTCTGTCTGT